TGGGGTCTCAGTCTCCTCTTTGTGCGCGGATTCCCAGCGCCGCTCTCCGGGTTCCCGGGCGGGGCTGCGGCCCCCGACGGGAGCGTTTTGCCCGTGTGAGCCCGGTCCTGAGTGGCGGGGCCGCCGTCGTGCAGACCGGGGAGGCGGTTAGCACTCGCTGTTCGTCGCGCTTTGTTCGATCGGGAAGCGCACCCCGCTGCCCGGGAGGGTTGGGAGAGCGCCGGCCCGCCTGCGAGGCCGTGCCTAGGGGTGCGGGTGCTGGCGTGGGGAAGTTTGGGGACCAGTGCGTGAGAAACTCGGAACAGGTTAGCCGGGGCTGCAGCACAGCGAGTTTCAAGTCAGTTTATGCATCTCCAAGTCCGTGTCTGATGCGGGCTCAGTCACAGTGGCGAGGCAGCGCGTTTCACGGGGACCTCGCCGGGGCGCTCTTCAGAGCTGGAGTAGGAAAGTCACCGGAGGAGCCAGCCCCTGGCCTGGAAGCCCTGACCTGGAAGAGGCAATGCGAATGTTCTGATATATTGAAATCAGGGTCTTAAAGACACGGAAAGACCCTGGAGAACTCGCTCAGGAGAAACTTGACTTGGGCTTAGGCGTGAACACGCTGTTTCTGCGTTTGGCCAGGGTTAATCCTGGTGAACGCCTGTCCCGAACAGTCACTGTGTCTGTCATGTATTGAAAAACTAAAATCTTAAGAGAACGAGAACAGAATAAAATGGCTGGAAAATAGTTTCTGAGAGGACCAGGTTTGTGCTGTGGAAATTACGCCTTCTCGGAGGGGTGGAGGTGGAAGAACGCGCCAGTTCCAGCACACCGTGGGGTGTGTTTTGGGTTACTGGCAAACCCTTGCCTGTGTTTTTATGGAATTGTAAAGGAAATCACCCAGTGTGTAACTCAGTGTAAAATTTACGTTGTTTCTGAGGTTTGAAGATTGGTTCTTGTTACATCTTGGTGTGAGGGGAAGGTTGAACAGTCCGGGGAAGCTGTGCCTGGGCTTGCAGCTGTCGCCTGTTGGCAGTGACAGACTCGTGACGGAGTGAGCTGCCTGTACCCAGTCACACAGTTGAACCTTAAACCAGGAGGAGCCCCGGAATGGTTCCTAAGCAGACTCTTGTTTCTGGGCAGATGTGTGATGAACCTGTGTTGAGAAGCGGGCGGGCGGGCACTGTCCCAGGGGTAGGATGCCGGCCTCAAGAGGTAGCCTGAGTCTTGCGATTGTGCCTTTACGTTGTGGCTGCTTTACCTGATGGTCCCCAACTAGATTTAAAATTGGCAGCTTGGCAGTCTTTGCTGAATTAACTGTCTCGTGTGGCTCTTACTGTCCTTTAATTGGAAAGAAAAAAAGAAGATGCAAGTGAAGTAACCTTGGTACCAAAGAATTGGGAAGCTTTCAGGGTGATTGAATTGGGAGTGGGTAATAGGACTAGAAATGGGGCCTGAATAATCTGGTAGCCTGAGTTGTCTGGTTTTCATTTGTTGGTAAAGGAATGTAGAGGAGAGAAAAAAGAGGAAAGGGGTGAAGTAGTAGTAGGTATCTATCTACCTTAGGACTTTTTGGGGCCAGCAGGGGCCCCGAGGCTGTTGGCGTCTCATAATGTTTACAGTTGAGGCTCTGTGCTTCTCAAGGAAAAGATCTTCCAAACATATTTTTGTATTCGTTAGTCTTGTTGTACCCTTTAGATTGCTGAAATGCTAGTCCCTTCTGGCAGTGAAGGTGCAGTTATCCTTAGACCTTTGTGGGGAAAAAGGGTAAGTTCTTACTGGTTACTGATTCATGCTTACAGTTTCCTCTAGAGATAAATTTCTAAATCTCGGTCATTCTTTTATATGCTAGAAGACTGATAGTTTGAAAATAGGTAGTCACTGAGATACCTTCTGGCTTTAAAATGATGTGATTTTTCTCCACTTAAATGTAATTAACAAACCTACCTCTGTATTGGGCTGTAATGACAATACTCACATTTTAAAATTTTATTTGGAAATGTGGACTGTGGTTTGTTTTGAGTTAAGCTTGAGTCAGTCACATCTAGTGTTTCTGATGTACACAACACAGTAGAGTTGCATATATTCATAGTGTATTTTGTTCCTTCTGTGATGGAGGTGCATAACAAAAACAGTACCATTATCTTCTTGTAGAAAGCCTTTACTACAGCTGCATGAGTTCTTAGCTGTGGTGTAAATCCAACTAAGACTGAGATTTCCTGTGCTTAAATCATCTTCCCTTAGAATTTCTTTAGCCCTCACTTTCGTTAAAATTTCAAGTTATCACAGGCTTTCCACTATCGCCTTAAACAAATTACTGTTTCATTTTTCTTCGGATTGCTTCTGTGACTTAAGTTTCGTTTCTATTAGAATATAAGCTTCGCGAGGACAAAGAGTCTATTTTTCATGTGTTTCCAGCGTCTAAGTTTGAATTTTTGATGAATAAATGATTAATTTATCGACAGCATTTTCATAGTACATTCTTTGTAATTGTTAGAACTGCTCTAAGTCGTAGATAGGTAGGATGGGTGGTATTTTGTCCGTTTTATGGATAAAAACAGATTAGTATTTGTCTTAGTTACTTTTCTCATTTCTGAGACAAAATACCTGACACTTGTAGTTGAATGAAGAAAAGCTTATTTGGCTTACAATTTGTAAAGGTTTCAGTTTGTCATTGCCCGCTCCCAGGCAAGGTGGCATGGTGGAGGGGCATCACAGAGGAGAAACAACTCATGGCAGGTAGCAAGTGACAAGTGAGAAGCAGTGACACTTTCTGTCCTTTATACCCTATTCAAGCTGCTCACCCTTAGGTGGGGCAGCCTTCATCCTAGCATTGCACCAGGAATCAACCCCCACATCACGTCCTTTTGTTTTTTTTTGTTTTGGTTTGGTTTTTTGGTACCAGGAATTGAACTCAGGACCTTGTGCTTGCCAGGCAGGCACTTGTGCTGCTGAGCTGTAGCCCCAGCCCACACATCGAGTCCTTGACCCCAGCACCATACACCCTAGATGCAACCTCATCTGATAAGTGCCACCTATGGGAGTGGGAGGCTTTAGGGGACGTCTAGATGTAAGCCATAGCAGTATTCCTGCAACCCACCACATCCCTTTTCTTCATTGTCTTCAATTTTAATGTCCAGGAAGAAATCAAAACCTGGAATGTAAAGATTTTTATTTTTTCCTTTTCATGGAATTCCTGCTGCTGCAAGAAAAAATATTAGTGAATTGTTCTTTTCCTTAGAAAAAATTTAAAATGTTGAGAAATCCTTGAAACAGCTGAACTTGGGCAAGTGAATTAGAGGATGTTAATAAAGTGAAATATGGATGAGATCAGAACTTTTACAAAGTTCAAGTCTAGGGATGTTTGCATCGGTTAGTAACTCAATTTCAGTTGCTTCATGAGGTCACTTTAGGTACAGAAATACCAAATGAGTTTAAAGTGTCTTCTCTGTGGCAGATAGAGGAAAGATGCATAAAGAAAGAAGTGAAAGGTTGATAGGTAATCCGTCCAAGAAGGAAAGGCCTGGAGAGTGGGCTAATCTTTAAAAGAGTTTCCTAGGAAGATATTACGAGCTGCAGTGGTCAGGTAGTTAGAACTTGACATACCAAGAAAAAGCAAGCCAAGAAGATGGGGAAGTCTGGGGTATGCAGAGTTAGGCAGTAAAGGGCTAGACCATAGAAGACTTTCTGGTAAGAGGTTGTTGTCTTCTTTTTTTAAAACTAGGGGTTTAACCTGGGGCCTTTGCATTGAGCTATATCCATCCAAGTCTTTTTTTTTTTTTTTTTTTTTTTTGAGACAGGTTCCCATAGAGTCACTAATCATCAGACCAGAATCTCATGATGTAGTTCAGGCTGGCCTTGAACTCACTGTGTAGTCCATGCTGGCCTTAAACTTGAAATGATCCTCCTGCTTCAGCTTCCAGAGTGCTGGGATTAGAGGTGTATACCACCATGTCCTGCTCACATGAAATGTAATGGTTGTATTTTAGATAGAAATAACAACATTTGAGAGAGACTTGGAGAGTAAAATCAATAGAACTTACTGATGCATTGGAAATTGAAATGGAGCTGGGGAATTTTGGTAAAGAGTAGAGGATTCCTAAATTTCTGGATTGAGCAGTTAGAGTGGGTTTTGGTATCATTTACTCAGATTGTGAAGACTAATCAAGGGCTTTGTTTTAAGCATCTGTCTTATATTTGAGGTCTTTGTTTAGTTCAAATCAAAAGAGTTTCTTTCCTCTGAAAGCCTGAAACCCAAAGGGAAGAGACTAGTCACAAAAAGTTAGGAAACATACCCACATATAGTAGCTGGTGAAATATAGTACTGAGGCTATAAAGGCAGTGTAAATAGATGAAAAGATCCTAGACACATTGCTGAGAGATTTGGGCACAGCTGTTGCTGAGGCACCCCAGCACCTTAAATACTACCTGCCTGGCACATAGTAGGCTTTAAATGATGACCCTTTAAATGATGAATCAACTTGAGAAAACCCTAGTACTAAAAGCCTGGCAGAGAAGTAGAACTGGGGTAGAAGACGACTCTAGGAAAGCAGTATAATGGAAACCCAGACTCAGTACTAAGGAGGAGGATTGAACCATTTATGTTAAAATCATATCTTTTCCTGAATTTTTTTTACAGTCAGCCTGTCTTCAGGGGTGAAGGTATATTTATCCTGAAATCCAAAATGTGAAAATTACAAACTTGTTTGTAACTCAGAAGCATAACCTGAATTAATACAATACCATTTATGGTCTTTATTCCATTTATTGTTAATATTTATAAGTTTTGCAAAAATATCTTCGATTATAAAATGCTACGTAGACATGAGGTTATTATATGTGGCGGATGTAACATAATTACCTTTCACAAAATCTGAAAGTTTGAAACATACCTGGTTTCAAGAACCGTGAATACAGATTGGGCTTCAGTGGCCATATCCATTCTGATAGCTTCTTTTTTATTTTATTTTTATTTTTTAGGTGTTCTTTTTTTTTAAATTTTTTTTTATTTTGGTACCAGAGATCGAACTGAGGACCTTGCGCTTGTCAGGCAGGCACTTAGGCTGCTGAGCTATATCCCCGGCCCTATTTTTATTTTTTAGGGAGGAAAAAAATAATAGAACAGAGTTTCACAACAGGTTAGTAGGCGAATTACAATAATTAATTCATTGAGTATTGTTGTCTTCATATTACTCGGAGTACAAGATTAGCACAAACCTTGTCAATGAACTAAGAGAAACTAGCTGTATAACTATCTTAACTACCTTGTATATGAATATTTTTGTTCCCTTCCTTCCTTTACCCTATCATAGTTTGTCTTTTCTTTTGAATAGTTTCTTCCCAATTCACTGCATCTAATGTACATTTTGGATTTTATTTACTTGTTTAGTTTCTCACACTAGTGAGATGATACGATGTTTACACATATTGGTCTGATTTATTTCACTTGTGAGTGTGATCTCGAGTTGCATCCATTTATCTAGAAATGTCTCAAGTTTATTCTTCTTTATGGCTGAGTAGTACTCTGTTGTACAAAAAAACCCTCATCCTCCTTAGCTATTCATTGCTTGATAGGCAATTAGGCCGTTCCAAGATTTAGTTATTACAAACTGTGCTTCTATAAATATGGGTGCTCATATGTCACTTTGGTATGATGCTTTTAATTCTTTTGGGAAGGTACCAAGAAGGGGAATAAGCTGGGTCAAATGGAACTTTAAGTCCTCGTTTTTTGAGGAATCTCCACACTGATTTCCACAGTGGTTGCACCACTCTACACTTCCACTAACAGTGGAGAAGGGTTCTTTTCCCCACAGCTGAACGAGCATTTGTTATTGGTTGATTTCTTGATGGCAGCCAGTCTTTCTGGGGTGAGGTGGAATCTTAGTGTTGTTTTAATTTGCATCTCTCGAATGACCAGTGGTGTTGAACATATTTTCATGTATTTATTTGCCATTTGTATTCATCTGAGAAGTGTGTGTTCATCTCAGCTGCCCACTTGTTGATTGGGTCTTTCAATTTGGAGGGGGTCTGATTTTCTTCAGTTCTTTATATGTTCTAGATATGTCTTTTGTCTGAGGGACAACTGGCTCTAATTTTTCCCACTCTGTGGGTTGTGTTTTCACTGTATTGATTTCTTTCGTTGTGGAAAAGCTTTTTAATAAGGTGAGATCCTATTTGTTGATTCTTTCTAATATTTCCCTTGCAGTCTGTGTTGTGTTCATGAAGTCGATGTCTGTCTTCAAGATTTCTGCCTATTTTGTCTTTCAGTAAATTTAGTGTTTCAATTTTAACATTTAGCTCTTTGATCCATTTTGACTTTAGTGCATGGTGATAGATACGGGTCTAGTTTTAGTCTTCAACATGTGGAGAGTGAGTTTTTCCAGCACCATTTATTAAGAAGACTATCTTTGTTCCAGTGAACGTGTTTGGCTCCTTTGTCAAACATAAGGCGGCTGAGTGTGTTTGGGGTTGTGTCTGCATCTTCTATTCTGTTCTATAGATCCTCAGGCCTGTTTTTTTGTTTGTTTTGTTTTTGCCAGTACCATGCTGATAATAGCACAGTAGCTTTGTAGTATAATTTGCAGGTCAGGGATTGTGATGCCTCCTGCCTTGCCTTTGTCACCCAAAATTGCTTTTGCTATTCTGTGTCTCTTCTGGTTCCAAGTGAATTTTAGGAATGTTTTCTCTAGATCTGTGAGGTATACTAATGGTATTTTAATTGGGATTGCAATAAATCTGTATAGCACTTTTGGGGGATAGCTCCATTTTCTGAGCTCTTTGATCTTCTTTTTCAAGGTACTGTAATTTTCACTGTACATATCTTTTACATCCTTTCTGAAATTCATTCCTAAGTATTTCATTTTTTTGAATGCTGTTGTGAAGGGTGTGCTTTCCCTAATTTCTCTCTGTTTGTTGCTTATTTATAGGAGTGCTCTTGATTTTTGAGTGTTGACTTTGTATCCTGCTGCCTTACTGAATTTGGATATTGACTCTACAAGTTTTTTGGTGGAGTTTTTGGGATCTTCTATGAGAATATCATGTCATCTGCAAATAATGATAATTTAATTTCTTCCTTTCCTGTCTTTATTCCTTTTAATTTTTTGTCTAATTTTTCTGACTAATGTTTCCAGAACTATATTGAGTAGGAGTGGTGATAATGGACAGCCTTATCTTGTTCCTAATTTTAGAGTGAAACTTACAGTTTTTGACCATTTAATATGTTGTTAGCTGTTGGCTTGTCATAGATGGCTTTTGTAAAATTGAGATAAAGACTGTCTATTCCAATTTTCTGAAGGGTTTTTATCATGCATGGGTTTTAAACTTTGTTAAATGTTTTTTCTGCATCTATTGAGATGATCATGTGATTTTTGTCTTTGGTTCTGTTAATATTGTGTGTTACATTTATTGATTCACATATGTTGAGCCATCTCTGCATCCCTGAGATGAATCCTACTTGGTCATGCTGTATAATCTTCTTCATAATTTGCTGCATTCTGTTTGCCAGTATTGGATTTTTACATCTATGTTCATTATGGAGTTGGCCTGTAGTTTTCTTTTTTGGTTGCGTTCTTTTCTGGTTTGGGAATCAGAGGTGATACTTGTTTCCAGGAATTATTTTGGAAGTACTGCTTCCCTTTCAGTTTCCTTAAAGAGTTTCAGCATTAGTGGCATTAGTTCTTCTCTAAACTTCTTGTAGAATTGAACAGTGAACAGGTCAGGGCCTGGGCTTTTCTTTGTTGAAGAATTTCTAATTACATTTTAAATTTCATTGGCTATCAGGTTATTAGAATTTTTATATCTTCCTTGTTTAGTTTTGGCAATTTGATTGTCAGAAATCTGTCCATTTCTTCTGCATTTTCCATGTTACTAGAATACACGTTCTCAAAGTAGGTATAGACGGCCTTCTGGATTTCTGTGGAATCTGATTTCTCCCTTTTCATTTCTGATTTGCTTGAATTTGTGTTTTTTCTTTTCTCTTTTTGATGAGGTTGGCAAGTGGTTTATCAATTTTATTTATTCTTTCAAAGAACCAACTTTTTGTTTCATTGATTCTTTGTATTTTGTTTTCTTAGTCTCTATTGCATTAGGTTCTGCTTTTATCTATAAAACTCTCCCCCATTTGAGCTTTGGGTTTGATTTGCTCTTTTTTAGAAGTTTGAGGTTTAACATTTAGTGGTTTATTTGAGCTCATTCTGTTTTCCTGATATGTGAGTTCATCACTATAAATTTCCCTCCTAGGACTGCTTTCATTGCATCCCATAAATTTCAGTATGGTGTTTTGACATTATTGTTTAATTGTGTATACTGTTTAATTTCGTCTTCAGTTCCTTCTGTGACCCATTGGTTGTTAAGAAGGGTGTTGTTAATTTTCATGTGTTTCTGCAGTTCTTGTGATTTCCTTTGTTGTTGAGTTCCAGTTTCATTGTGCTGTGGTCAGATAGTATTCATGTAATGATTTCAGTTCCTCCATATTTACTTAAAAGTAAATATCTTCATCAGCTGATAATGGTCTGTTTTGGAGAATGTCCCATGTGCAGCTGAGAAGACTATGTATTCTGATGTTTTGGGGTGGAACACCGTAGACATCTACCAAGTTCATTTGTTCACAGGGTTGGTTTAATTCTAATTTTTTTTTTTTTTTTGTCTCGTTGATCTATATATTTGTTAGAGTGGGGTGTTAAGGTCTCCCACTACAGTTGTGTTAGTGCTTATTTGGTTTTTTGTGTCTGTTAATGCTTGTTTTATGTAGTTGAGTGAACCTGTGTTTGGTGCGTAAACATTTATGATCGTTATCTCTTATTGTAGTTTTACCTTAACAAGTAATTCTCTCTTGACCAGTTTTGGCTTAAAGTTTGCATTGTCTGTAAATACAATAGCTACCCTGCTTTTCTCTGGATTCCTGTGGCATGGAATTTTTTCCCATCCTTTCGCTGTTAGTCTGTGACTTCCTTTTGGGGTTAAATGTGTTTCTTGAATACAGCATATTATTGGATCTTCTTGATTCATTCTGCCCATCTGTTTCTTTTGATAGATGTGTTGACACCATTAACATTCATGGCTTTTTTTTTTTTTTTTTTTAATGTTGTTTTCCTGTTATTTGTTCTGTCTTTCTCCTCTGTTGTTTGCCTTAACTGGAAGCTTCTTTCTGTTGGTGTTCATGTTTGTGGTTCATTTTGTCTTTCTAATATATCCTTCAGAGCATTGTGTAGAGTTGGTTTGGTGGTCATAAATTTCCTCAGTTCTTTGTCATGGATGTATCTTATTTCTCCCATCAATTTTGAAAGATAGTTTTTCAGGGTACATCAGTCTGGGTTGAAGATTGCTTACCTATAGGGCTTGAAATACTTTACTGCAAGCTCTCTTTGATTTGAGGGTTTGTGTTGAGAAATCTGCTGGGCTTTCCTTTATAGTGATATGTTTCTTTTCTCTAGCTCTCTTAATATGTTATTCTTGTTCTGAATTTCTGGAATCTCGATTATTATATAGCTTGGTGTAGATTTATTTTGCTCGTGGCTATTTGGAGTTGTATATGCTTCATTTATTTGTATGTCAAATTATTATTCTATGTTTGGGAAGTTTTCTGTCATTATTCCTTTGAAGAGGTTTTTAAAGGCTTTTGTGTTGTCTTCAGCTTTCTCACTGATTCCAGTCCATCTTGTGGTATTCTTCTGTGCTTCACCCTGTAGCTGTTGGGTTGATTTTTCGTGGTCTCTTGGTGATTTTTAAGATATTTCTCTTGTCTTCTAGATCTGATATTCTATCTTTGCCTTCATTCACTCTGCTGCTTATACTTTCAGTGGAGTTTCTAATCTCTTGCATTTCTGTTTGGATCTGTTTCATTGATTCCATTTCTTATCTATGATTGGCATTCATGGTTTCCATAATTTTCCTGAGCTCCTCTATTTGCTTATTTGTGCCTGCTTTAATGTCTTATTTTGATAGTCATTTGTTTTTGTACCTTAGAGATTTTTTTTCTATGGCCTCTTCCACTTGTTGGCTTCCATTTGTTGCTTTCCTCTATCTCTTTGTTCTCTGAATTTCTCCCGGGTTGGCTCTGCATTTGGGATTGCATTTTGCTTCGTCTTGTCATTTTCTTTTTTTTTTTCTTGGTTTTTCTCCGGTACCAGGAGCCGAACTCATGACCTTGCGCTTGCTGAGCTAAATCTCCAGACCCGTCTTGTCATTTTCTATTTTGTTTTGTTTTCTGTGTTGATGCATGTAGATTTCTTACGGTCTTGAGGCTTTCTTAAGAACTGTGTGTTCCTCTGGATATCTTCTGGATGTAGGTGGTTCTTGGTCTTTATGTCTATCCCAAGAATCTACCTTCCCAATATATTAAAACTGAGGAGTTGCTATCAATTTGATTTAGGGTCTATTCCTTTGGTACTGGACTACGGTGATGGTTATGACCCCTTACGATTACAGTGTTGTCTTACAGGGGAAGACTGGTTATAGCATGTATGACATCCTGGTTAAAGTACTTTAGTTGCCAATAACAACAGACTGAAATACAGCCTGGCTACTGACAAACTGGTGATTATTAGCCTGATATCTATAACTGTAGGAGGAAGGTCTATATAGGAGGAAATATAACATAATCCAACTTATACCAGGAACCTGTATGCATTGATTTTCCACTTAGTAGAGTGATTTTACCTTGTTGGGAGTTGGTCTGGAGAGTAGGGAGTAGGATGGAGAGGCTAATGAAGTTAAATATAGTAGGAGCAAGGCTGGAGGGCACAGGATGATCATCCAGGTTTTCGGTAATTGTAGAACCAGGAGGGAGGGATTAGAAGAGAAGGCCTAGGAGTTTTGAAGTGAACCAGAAAGAGAAGGGACAAGGTTTACTCACATGAAAGTATCATAAAGTCAGGCGAGATAGTTGACAAAAGAGATGAAGAGTAGAATACAACAAAAATAAAGGTTGGAGCTCTCTTGCTGGCTTGTATTGCTAATGTGTGGGATATTTCCACGCCTGTAGTTCCACCTGTCCCTCGTGTGTATCTTAGCCAGGTTCCTACTGTGTCACGGGCAGATCTCAGACTTCTCTTGCCAGCCACACCATCCCAGGGCCTCTGACAGCTTCTTGACCAGTGAGCGGTTGCTAATACGTTGCATATAAATTCTTCAGGGCAATTTCAATTTGGCAATTAAAAGTTTGCTATGTTCAAGAAATGATTTTGAGTAGATTTTTCTGGATTTTCACTTAATTAGTAAAACATCTTTACAGTATTTTGGTGAAAGTAAGACAACATTTAAAATGCCCAAGTTACATTACTGACCACTTACATGAATGTGAACCATGGTTCATAGAACTAAGAAAAGACATTTTATCTTATTCAGTAAATTCCTTCAAAGAGTTATCTAGAGAAAAGAACATTAAGCAAGAAGTTTGAAATGATTCTTTCATAACTCGCTTGCATTTTGGAGGAATTCTTGTGAAAGTAATTGATCTGTAGCTTGGCCATTGGATCTGTGTCATTTAGTCTGTATGTGTATTTTTGGAGGGACTAGGGTCTCTAAATTGTGGCTATATATTGAAAGCTGTGTATATTAATGTTTGAGGGTCCTGTTAGTAACAAGCACATTACTTGATGAATTAGGTCCCTTGTTTATTTTGCTCACTTTCTTAAAGCTGTGATGAAACACTTACATTCCATGTTATGTCTTTTTTTGTTAGCCTTGCTCCTATCTTGTCTTCCTACTGACTGTAAGTATTAATATTTTCCCACAGTCTACTACTTGAAGAGCACTGGCCGTAATGTGTGCTTGCTAGGTTTGAGGGTAGCTCTTTAAGTTGCTAGCGGTGTGACTTGGACACTGTCACCTGACTGCTTTGCATCTCATACCTATCTGCAGTTATAAATAAGAATGATGGTAATAATGCCTGCATTGCAGTTATTGAAAAGATTAAAAAATAATACGTGTGAAGTGCTTAGAATAGCACCTTATAGTAAATACGCTTTTTTTTTTGTCTTTTTGAGGCAGGGTCTCCCTATGCAGTTCAGGCTGGCCTTGAACTCACTTTGTAGCCCAGGCAGTTCTCAAACTCACGATCCTCCTGCCTCAGCTTCCTGAATGGTGGGATTACAGGCATTGCAGCACCACACCCTGCTTTAATACTTTTTTCTAACACTGCGCATTTTTTTTTCCTACCTTCTTTTTATATTGGAGGCTGTGACTTTCCTTTGGATTCTCTATGTGCATGTTGAATAAAGTGATTTTAAGATGTGGTAGGTGCTAGAGACATTTCATCTTGGTATTGTTACACAGAGACAGATGGAAGTGAAAACTAGACTTCTTATTCTAATGAGCTTTATAGTGATAACTTAGAAATAATACTCTTTACATTACTTAGGTATGTGACACTTTGTAACTCTAATAGTTTTTCCATACCTAACAATCTGATGGTGAGACCAAGCTACTTTTAAAGAGCTAGGACAGAGCTTTATGACTGATCCTTCCTTGACAGATAGTTTGTTTTATGCATTAATAGCCTATCAGTTATGATAAATACAAATAAGTGTTACACAGCACCAGAGCCCTGCTTTGTAGCTTTTCTGTATTCTTAGTTTTGTTGTTGGCCTTGAAAAAGCTTTTTAAATGGCCATGTGTGGATGAATTATTTGTAGAGGAGAGCTTATGTTGAAAGTGAGGAGGTATGATACCAACAAAATCAATTAGTCTTTGACTTCATTACTTTTCTCATTGCTAAGACAAAATACCAAATGCCCAAAGTTTAAAAAGGAAAGGTTTATCATAGCTCACAGTTTGTAGGGGTTTCAGTCCACAGTTAGCTGGCTTCCAGGCAGGATAATATGGCAGAGGGCCATCACAGAGGAGAAACAGTCCCTGGCAAGGCAGCAAGCAGCAAGCAGCAGCAGCAGCAGTGAAGCAGGCTTCCCTTTCCCTTTTGTTCCATCCAGGCTCAAAACCATTTGGGTGGTACCATTCACACCCTGGGTGGGGCTTCCCATTACCCACACCCAGAACTATGCAAAACCAACCAATTTAGATATCACACCTAATCACAGTGTCACCACCAACCTAGATCCCAGGCAGCTCTGAAAAGCACTCTATGAGCCCATGAAGCTTCAGTGAGACATCTAGACACAAGCTGTAGCAGTCTTATTATTAGAAGTGTCAACCTGGACTACTGTCAGATGTGGCACAAAATTTGGGGGGGTGCTGTTAAACAGTAAGAGGGAGGGTTTTGAAAGGTTTTTTAATCTTGAAAGTGAATAAATGGCATTCTTTCTCCTAGCTTTTATTGTATAAATCTGTGTTGAAATGATAGACTTTAAGCCATTAAAATCAGCTTGAGTAGCTAATTTGGGGAATTGTTTAAACTCTAAGATCAGTACTAATTTAATAAATGTGATGTGTATCACATTAGAAAAATGTATTTAAGAGACTTTCATATGTCACTTTTTATAATAAGCATTACTTTCCCTCAGGAGTATTGATTTCATTGAAATTTGGCTGATGAAAGTGATTTTGGTTTTGCTTATTTTGAAATCTTATTTGTAAGTTTTACACATAGGAATATGCTATTTTAAAAGATAGGCCAGGAATACCACCTGTTAGTTGTGAAGCATGAAGCATATCCTTATCACCTTGAAGAATGTCGTGAGTGTGTCCTAGGACAGAAGCACTTTCTTAGGACACAAATCTCAGTTCCTGAGACATCTTCAATTGCATGTGATCTGGACACACCACACTCCCAACCTCGCACAGTACCAACTATGAAGGGCTTCTGGAATGCCAGTACATTGTCCTCGAAGCAATAGTTGTTGAAAAAATTTCAAGTTATACTTAAAGACCCAGACACAGAATTTACTGAAAGTACCTGAAAATTCGCTAGAAAATACTAAAAGTGTAACTTTAAAGTTTAAAAAACTGAAGGAAGAATTGAGAAACTACAAATCATAATATCTTAATCTACACATAAAAATGATGTAATAATGGAGAGTCATCAGCACGTAAAAGGAGTAATAGTGTCTTGGCTTTTTACTATAGATTGAAAGCTGTAAATCATTGTTAATTTTATTTAAATGATGAGTGCCTTCTAATGTTGATATATATGAGAATTCAGATAGTTTATGACTATCTTTTCTGTATTATTTAGTTCATATGTTTTCTATTTTAGGTGATATTGGAAATTATTACTATGGACAAGGTCATCCCATGAAACCACATAGAATCCGCATGACTCATAACTTGCTGTTAAATTATGGTTTATACAGAAAAATGGAAATATATGTGAGTATACCTTTCAGGGACTATTTAGTTTTGTTTTTTTTTTTAACTAGTACTGTGAAACTTTATTATTCACCTTTGAGGAGGGCATTTACCAGATGAAAAGGTCTGAAAGAAAACTCTTCAGCTAAAATGGACAGTACAAGCAATATCTTCCCCACCCTGTCTTTTTAATTACTAAAACAAATCCCTCTACTCAAGGCTTTCATATCTTCAGAGGACAACTCAGAAATAGAGTATATTTGTTAGGATAATGTTAAACTGTCTGTGCTGATGAGGAGTTCACCTGGGACAGTTAATAAAAAAATTTATGCAGACAGTTGATCCTACAAATATTTATTGGGCATATAATGTGAAACCTTTAAAAGCTAGATAGAACACATAACTTATAAGATACAACAGCTGCCTTACATGTTTTTGTAGAAAATGGCAGATACATATAAATAGATAAAAGACAATTTTTAAGCTACTTAGAAAAGAAAGAGCAGTTGTAGCAATTGTTGGCAATTTTAAGTAAAGTATTTTCTTTTACATGCAGACATTTAGAGAAGAAAGGGGATTTGGAAAAGTCTCAGTTTGGAAGACTTAGGGAAGTATGTCGTAAGTGAAATTATGCTCTGCAGAAGAAGAAAATTAGGATACACAAAGGGAAAGAGGATGAGCAAAGACTTAGGTTGAGAGTGCACCTCTTTCTGGGAAGTCACTGATGAAATCTGTGGATGTAGAACAGAAAGTTTATGATGGAAAATGAAAGAAAGAGTCTGTAAACATGGACTTGACTTTATGTGAGTTGACCTGTTTCTACTAAAATTTGCACATGGTTAATTTGCTGTTGATACTATGCCTGTCTGATCCTTTTAAAGGAGTTGATTTTAGGATTGACCACTACTTCCTAAAATATAAAATGCACATACTTTAGATTAGCTTTGGAATTTACTTTGTTCTAGTGGACCTAGTTGTTTTGAAGGGAACTATATTTGATAATTGCAATAGAACCACTAGTAATTTCAGTGTCCTGATGTTTTTCTTCACAGAGGCCCCATAAAGCCACTGCTGAAGAGATGACGAAATACCATAGTGATGAGTATATTAAGTTTCTGCGGTCCATACGGCCAGACAACATGTCTGAGTATAGTAAGCAGATGCAGAGATGTACGTTCCTATGTGAAGTTATATTTTAATGTTGACAAATCTAATGGATATTTTTAGACTTAGAATTATCCAAATTGGTTGGGGGTATTTTGGTATTCTAAAATGTGATGATTTATTTGGAAGGTCAGTGTAACAATATTGAAGGTACCATTTTTTAAAAACCTAATGATGCCAAGTGTAGTGGATTCAGGCAGTAGGATCACTGAGTTCAAGGCCAGTCTGGGCTACGTGATGAGACGCTGTCTCAAAAAAGGAGAAAAAAAAAAGCCTAACTAAATGGCAGATTGCATAGTCCTTTACTTTTTATTTTGCTCCCATTATAACTTGGTAAGAGATATTGGTAGGGAATCCTTACTCCCTTACTTCACATGCAAGGAAAGATTAGTGTGCACTTTTTATGTTATGTTTATGTGCTTCAGTTAACTTAGGCTATGTAGGATATGTTTTCCCCTTTGTTAGGATGTTAGTGAACCTTCTGATTTTTCTCTTCTGCTTGGTGTTCCCCTTAATAGGTCAAAAGTATTTTATTAGAGATTATGGTTGGAACGCAGTATCTTTATTTTTTTTTAAATTTTAGAACATTTTTGTTTCTTGAGACAAGGTCTCACTATGTTGTTCAGGCTGACTTTGAACTCACCATGTCTTCCATCCTGGCCTCAAACTTGTGATGATCCTCCTGCCTCAACCTCCCAAGTGCTGAGATTATAGGCATTTGCCACCATGTCCAACCACAGTATCTTTTTTAAAGCTTGATAGCTGAGTTTGTTCTCATTGGGTTTTTTTTTGTTGCCATTTTGTTTTTTCTCAGTACTGGGATTTGAATCCTGGGCCTTTGTACTTAGTTACCTCTCTGGCCTCTTTTCGTTTCTTTTGACACAGGGGCTCTAAGTCACTTAAATTGTCCAGGCTGGGTAGGGCTTAAATCTAGATGTTTCCTGCCTCAGCCTCCCAGAGTGCTGGGATTATCAACCATCATGCCTAGCTAGCTCATCAGTGGTTTAATAAATAGACTTCATTGGTGATTAACTTAGGTGGAATTACTGGAATCTCACAAATGCATGGACTTGTGTTCATACATATTTCTACCTGGCTTATTTGATTCAGTAAAGTGCTATGATAGCTTAAGACATACACTATCTTTCAGTGAGGATTCAGACTTGGAGACATGGGTAGCCCTTAGGTGAATAAATTAAACAGGCTTGATTTAAAATCTGCAGAATACTGAATTGTATTACATGATAGTAGTAAGAAACTTAAAATTTACTTTTCATAGAGCTTGTAACTCAGGATATAAACAGTGACCCTCAATCTTGAAGAGGCTGTAAGCTGAGGCATGGGTTACACATCTCTGCCCACTTCCTCAGTGCTGCAGAATCATGTGTCCTGATGTGCCACGTACCTGGAGGTCCCAATTCCTTGTTTTGCGCTCTCTCTTATGTCTTGGCTCCCAAGAATCAGATCAAGCCTGACCATGAACATAGCCAAGTAGCTGCAATCTATTCTTAGTACCCAGTAAAATACATTGCAAAGCTATGCATGCTCTGTGTATGTAAGGAATGTGAAGTAACCAAGCAATCAGAGTTACTTGCATTTTTAGAATATTGGTTAATTGTTGGATATTAAGCCCATGTTTTATTAAAACTTTAGTAAAAACTTCATGATTTGAAATGTATTGGGTTTTTTTCTTTTTAAATAGAACAGAGGTATTTCATAAATAGAGTAAGATTTGGTGATAAGACTTGGTAGTATTTCACAAGAATACCTTGAATAAAACAATGAATCATATTTTAAATTTACAATTTTTAGATTGTGACTATGGAACATGTTTTACAATTGCATCAAATAAAAGTTATGTAAGAAGTAGTTTTGCAAGAAAATCCTTTCATTAATTTTCTTAATGGGTTGAAATTAATCAAATTTACTCCACAGTCAATGTTGGGGAAGATTGTCCAGTGTTTGATGGACTCTTTGAATTTTGTCAGCTCTCCACTGGTGGCTCAGTTGGTAAGTACCCTAGTTCAGTCAGGTTTAAAATAGATGTAAGTGTACTTACGTGTTCATTGGGTTATTTAGAACAGTTTACTGGTGGTGGATTTTGATAACAAAAAGGAATTGATAAATGTGCTTATAGAGTATTGTGTTGGTCATCCTTCTGTTACTCTAACCAAATATGTGAGGTAATCAGCTTACAACAGGAAAAGGTGTGTTTTGGCTCACAGTTTTGGAGATGTCAGTCAGTAACCACTTGGTCCTGTTGATTGGGGCATCTAGTAGTACTTATGGTGGGAGCATATAGAGAAGGAAGCTTGTTGATCTCGTGGCTGAGTGGGGAAGAGAGATTTTTTTTTTTTATCCTAAATATTTCATAAATAACATACTTTTTCTACTTCTCAGCGGGGGCTGTGAAGTTAAACCGGCAACAAACTGATATGGCTGTTAACTGGGCTGGTGGATTACATCACGCAAAAAAATCAGAAGCATCAGGATTCTGTTATGTTAATGATATTGTGCTTGCCATCCTTGAATTACTAAAGTAAGTTGATTTTTATTGATTTTTTTCATGTGGTAAAGTGTTTTAATTAAGATACAGTAAGATTTGCAGCTCTTTAAAAGTACTATACAGAGTAAATGGCAGTAGGTTAAAATGGTAGCTATGGTAGCTGTGGATTCATCACAAGCTAGTGAGTCTAGCCAGCTGCCTTACTAGCACATCTGAATGGGGCTTTCTTTTCTACTAGTGGACGTAACATTATCTTGAATGAGTTGCTTTTGATAAAGTTATCCTCAAAGTTTGAGATTTATGAAGGGACTTAGGAAGTTGGAGATTTACAAAGTTAGACTGTATTTTAATTATTATTAGTTGTGATATCTTAACAGATTCTGCTTTAGATTTTATACTTAATTAGTATTTTGTCAGCATTGAAACTGATCTTGTTTATGTTCTTCCATGCATATTATCCATAGAGGCTAATTTTTGCATCATTTACTTATTTATATATTTAGTTAGTTAGTTAGTTTTTTGAGACAGGGATTCATGATATGCCTTGAACTCACAGCTCAGCCTCTTGAATGCTGGACTTACAGGTATGCACTACCATGCCCAGCCTGAGTCTCTTTAAACGTTGTATTGACTTCTTAACTGAGCAGTGTCAGGTTAACATCTTGATGACTCATCCAGAGCTAAGAAAAACCATTTGAAATAATATTTTTCTAATTAATTGTTATTCTATTTCTTCACTTCTAAGCAAGTTCTTACCCACTAGGCTTATAGTTTTAAGTAACTTTTATCTGTCTGAATACATTTCTTCAGCTGGTAAAATAAAAAATGATTTATTACTTGGTAAGTAGTTTTCCTTGTTTGTCTACCCCATGAACCAGTCAGGAACGTAGCTTTGATACCAGCTTCTTTATTTTTATTTTTTTTATTTTGTGAAGAAACAGATAACACTATATTTAGTTTTCTAGATCTTCGAAATTTTGTTTCCTATGAGTTGAGACTATTATGAGTGTCTAGTCTGGTAAATCAGCTTACACCATATTCTGTTAGTACCCTTGTGGTATTGCATAATAAATGCAATTTTTTGCCATCTAATGGATTAAAAAATAATCCTCATTTTACTGTGCTTTAGAAGAATGACATTTGAAGTATGCTTTTGCCTTGTTTTGACACGAGTATCACTGGAACAATATCCTGATATGGTAATTATGAGTGTTTCCTGCAGTGTATTCAAGTTACGACTGCTCGGCTGCAGTTGTAGTGCCCCAAACATGGTGTAAAGTGATGCCTGCTACATGTGCTCTTTCTAACAGCTACCAGGCTTTCTGTCAGCAGAGAAGCCTGCTGATCTGTAAACAAACGAGGTGCCAGTGTTTCAGTAGAACTTGGATGGATGTGGAAATTTTTTTCTTTATTTCATTCATCACTCATTCATTCCTGTGCTGGGGATTGAACCCAAAACCTTTGCACTGAGCTACTTCTCAGACTTTTTAAAATTTATTCATTCATTTATTCTTCTAAATTTCTGTATTTATTTGGGATAGGGTTTTGCTACATAATTCAGGCTGGCCTTGAGCTCTGATTCTATTTTTCAACCATTTAAAAACATAAAACCTGTTCTACACTCAGGGCCACAAATAAGAAAGTATTTGGCCTGTAAGCCACAGTTTGCCAGCCCCCATTTTGTAGTGCTGAAGACTTACTCTGAAGTCTTAATTAAAGTAACAGTCTTGAGGGGCTGGGGGTTTAGCTCAGCAGCACACTGCCTACTTGGCAAGCGCAAGGTCTTGAGTTTGATTCCTGGTACCGGAAAAAAACAAAAAAAAAAAACAAAGTAACAGTCTTGAGTACAATATAATCTTTAGTCAATACATGGAAATGTGTCCTGTGTTTTTAAAGCATGTATAATGGGACAGGTTTCACAAAACATTGGGCCCAGAGCTGAGATTTAAAAGTATCGGTTTGAGGCAATCACTTCAGGTGTTTGGCCTTATAGGCTGCAGGAGGGAATTGAAAGCATACTGACGATATCAGCTGATGTTCTACAAATCACACCATCAACAAGAACAAAATTCAAAAATCCAGCCACAGCAGCACAAAAGAAGCAGTGTGCATGAGGACCTGCCCGGAGCCTCGCAGGTTGAGCTTGGCATCTGCAAGCTGTGCCTGAGCAGCAGGAGTCAGGGCAGCAGTGGCTGCCACCGTACACATGGGTACTTACACCTGTGCTTTGGAGAAGTTGCGCGGCTCAGCAGCTCCTGGTTGGTGACTTCTCATCCTTTTGGTGCCGGTGGTGGCTGTTGGGCTCGTCAGAAAGCAGAGTGTGTTGTGAATGGGTTCTTTGTGTGGTTTTTAGAAATTATGACACTGATAAAATTTTAAATTGGGAAAAAAATGGATTTCTGAATTTATGGTGGTGTTTTACATCTTCAGACCTTTATAGTAAATAAAAACATGTGGCTTTGTTTCTAGGTATCATCAGAGAGTGTTATATATTGATATAGATATCCATCATGGTGATGGTGTTGAAGAAGCTTTTTATACAACAGATCGTGTAATGACTGTTTCATTCCATAAATACGGGGAGTATTTCCCTGGCACAGGAGACTTGAGGGTAAGAACAGATTATTTCTGAGTAAATGTGGGATTAACATAGGAAGTTAGTCATCTTATACTTGAGCTAACATTTTTCCTGAGTCATTAATTTGAAACTTGTATGCAGATTTAAATCACTTTATATTCTTTTTCTTTTGTCTTTTTTCCTGGTACTGGGAATTGAACTCATGACCTTGTGCTTGCCAGGCAGGCACTGTGCCGCTGAAGTAAATCCCCAGCCCCAAATCACGTTATATTCTTTAACACCTAGCATTTATTTTTGATGACTATGTATGCAAGTATGTAGTGAGATTTTTTTTCTCAGTTGTTTGCTTTGATAAAGTGTGTGTCCACGGGCACGTAGCTCGTTTTTGATGTTCACTTTGACCATCTAGAACCGCCTGGTGGAGACCTACATTCCTGTTATTTGTAAAGAAATGTGAACTGGAATAGTCTTCCGGGTTTTTCTGCTGCCCTCCATTACGTATCATCCTGACTTTATGTCTTTTTTCTGAGGCTTCAGGATTACCATCCCTTAGTATTGCTTCTACATTAGATTTTGGTTACCTCTTTTCACTTGATTTTGTGTTTTGTAACTGTGAAAAATCACTGTTAAATCCTGTTTATACAATTTTAATCAGGTTTTTTGTTTATTAGAATTCTTTTGAAGCACATCACATATTGAAGTTTATTTAGAGATATAATTGCTGGATGCTTTTTGGTTTTTTGGGTTTTTGTTTGAGATAGGATCTGGCTATGTGGTTCAGACTGGCCTTGAACTCACTGGGTAGCCCAGCTGGCCTCACACTTGGGGTTATCCTTCTGCCTCAGCTCCCAAGTGTTGGTATTACAGATGTATGCCACCAGTGTACCACCATGCCCAAGTTTAACTGATACTTTTAATTCAGACCAGTTTGTACAGAAGATTTCGCTTGGCATGGCATTGGATGTTAGTCCTAAACTGTTTATCAAATAGGTTATTTTTCAGGCGATGGTATTGTTCTTGCAGTTTAGCAAACAACATTTTTAAAGAGTAGCCTTAGTCTTCAAGTGTGCTACTTTTCTTTATTTGACCACCAGTTGGTACTGTTTTAAGAAACTTTTGCAGTGAAAGTTATGGTTAAACTTTTCCTAATTTATAAATAGGTAAGGGTTTGGATGTTGAGTTGTTTGGCTTATAAAAAAAGATTCATAATTTTAGTTTTCTTGGTCACAGTAGTTCCTTCAGCATCTCCCTTTTCTCACTTGATTCTTCTCTTATGGACCAGTGGTTCTCAGAGATTGGTTCCTAAGTGAGCAGGATCAGACTACCTAAGAGCCCAGCAGAAGTGCACATTCTCGGGCCCCAGAAACGGGGTGTTTGAGAACTATTGCTCTGAGCCAGCAGAATACATTTATCTGCAACCATTCCATCCCAGTGGGACTCAAGCAAGCCTTCCTGGCTTTAAGCTCCAAGTGTAAGATAATGTTTGTGCAGTATAATCCTCATTAATCTTAGGCAGTGGCAGTTGGAGATCTTGTAATTTCTAACAGCACATGGACATCACTGTGGTCTCTTCTCAGTTGTTGTTAATAATTGTTTTGGAAAATCTTGGCAAAGTCATGTTTTAAAAAGATGTGAAGAAGGCTTTTCACATCATTTCTTCTCATTGAAGATTTTACAATCACTTTACAGAAAAAAATCTCTGAGTAACAGTTGGGTATTTTAAATACGTTCTCAAAATTTTGGGAGAGAAAACTTAAACCAGTCATTATGTGTAAGGTGTATTTGGGCTTTTCTGCAAAATCCTGTGTATCTTTGGGTGTTACGTAGTTTAATGAGCATTTCCTTTTCTGCCCGTTAGTTCATTTTAAAAGGGAGAAGAAAACCACCCTGAGTGTTCTTCATTCTTAAAACTCTTGCGTGCTTTAATTAGTCTAGAGGGAAGAAGGGTTAGAGATGTGGCAAAAGAACAGTTGTGAAGAAAAGGAGAAGTAGAAAGGTTACTCAACAGGGAGAGCAGGGTTGACGGTGCAGTCATTACTGCGCAGCTTTCTGCATTCTCAAATGCTGGGGTCAGAGTCCATAGTGTTCTGTGTCAGCTGTGACATGGAGTCTAGGGACTCTTAGGACCTCATTTTAGTTGATCCGCATTTGTAGAATTGGCACTTAGTTAGATATAGAAATTTAGATTTCCTTTAAAAAATGGAAGGAGGGTATGTAACTCTGCTTAGTCTCTTCATTACAAGTGGGGTCACACTGAAGGCGAACTGTGCTTCTGTAAAAGTGGATCTGAGCTAAGATCATTCCATGAGAGATTCTGGAGGAACTTATACACCTGTTACAACCCCAAGGAGCAACACAGCTTCAGACATCATTTAGATCACATAGGAAGTAGCGCTGCTAGTCCTTTGCTCTGTGGTTGGAGCATGCTTTTGTAGAAATGTCCCACTGTACCGTGTGCTCTAAGTGTATGTATTCACATCACAGATACATACATACACATGCATAGCTGTACAAGTAGATACAGATGTTATTGTATTTGTAACTAGAATGCAGCTCTTTCTGTCCTTTGCATCTTTGGAATTAAGTGTCTGGAGCAGTACTCAACAAATAGAAACAGTGTATTGCAAGTGTCATTGAAGAATATATCTGATGCTTTAATCTGTATATGTTAAAACTTCAAGAGCTGGGTATGGTGTTTGCACACCTGTAATCCCAGCACTTGGGAGGCTGAGGCAGGAAGACATCTGAGTTCAAGACCAGCCTAGGCTACATAGTGCATTCAAGGCCAAACTACAGAGCAAGACGCTGTCTCAAAAAAAACCAAGAATTGTGGACCTTTCATCATAAGTGCGTTCCACACCATGAGTCACTCAGAGGATTCTGTATTAGAGACAGTTGTCTTCATGGTCTCTCCTCTGCAGGCTGAAGTTTGTCTCCTTGTGTCTTCTGCTTATGAAGTTCCTAGGTGCTGTAACTGTGTCCTTTACCTGTTTTTGTTAAATTTTTTACTCAAAAAATGTCATTGCAGATTAATTAGAAATGGTTCTTTTACGGTTTATAAGCAATCTAAATATTGGAACATACACATGCCCCTTAATTTATATTGTTCCTATGAAGGAACAATATAAATCTTCTTAATGTTAATGTTAAACAGTGTTAATCTTTTAAAGATACTGTAATAAATATGTCAGGTTTTTTTATTATGAAATATTCTCTGATATCCACTTGTGTGTTTTAGGACATTGGTGCTGGAAAAGGCAAATACTATGCTGTCAATTTTCCAATGAGAGATGGTATAGATGATGAGTCCTATGGGCAGATATTTAAGCCTGTAAGTATTACTACTGTGCAGGTTGACATCACATTGTAAACTGTTACTGGAGATACTGACATTTACTCTTTTGTGTGTAGATTATTTCAAAAGTGATGGAGATGTATCAGCCAAGTGCGGTGGTTCTGCAGTGTGGCGCGGATTCTTTATCTGGCGATAGACTTGGGTGCTTCAATCTCACAGTCAAAGGTGAGCATTGTGGAAGGCAGTATTCCCAGAAAACAAAGGGTTTCCTTCTTCCCTCGAAGTCCATTTAGAAGGTCTCATTGTAGTTTCTTGCCTCACATTTCAACACCAAACTCTGTGCCTTATATTTTGCGTAAGTTTTTGTCTGATATGTGTGTGTGACTACGTTTAACTTAGTTTTAGTCAGTTAGGTACTATTTTATTTTGTGTACATACACATTTGTGCGCGAACAGTTTCATGAAGCTTGTTGCTTTCCCCACGGAGGCAGCTGTCGTCAGTGCTTTGTTGGTCTGTTGGGTCTTCACCGTTGTCTGGGTACTGTACATACTTGGTTATGCAATTCATCGTTCAGTTTGAGCCCTGTGTGTGAAGGTCCCATTTTGGAAGAAGGGGATTTACCTCTCCTTAAAACTTCGTTCCCAAAAAAAACTTTGTTCCCAGCAAGCATGCAGCATTCCCATATCTCTGTTTCTTCTGTCGGAATTTCGGTTGTGCTATTTATTGTTTACAGTAGAAGCGGCAGCATTTTGTCACTGTGCCCAGTTTTTCTGCCTAATGAAATGCAAAATTCATTTTTGTGGAGTTTTGCATTAACTTAGTTTTCTTGTCCCTAATTACTAAACTACCAATGTTTTGAGGTGAAATAAAAGTAAATGTCTTTGATTTACCTGTGGTATGTATTTGGAAGTCAAAATATCCATGTGGTTTTCTTTTTTTTTTTTTGAGTCTTTTTGAGACAGGGTCTTGCCATGCAGTTCAGGCTGGCCTTGAGCTCACTTTGTAGCCCAGGCTGGTCTCGAACTCGAAACAATCCTCCTGCCTCAGCCTCCCAAGTGCTGGGATTACAGGCATGCACCACCATGCCTGGCATGATTTTTATTTATTATGAGAAACCCGGGTTTTTCTGACAGGAGTAGTGCACACTGGGTTGTGGGTTTCAATGCAGTCCTGAAGCAGATGAAAATGCTCGGTGTCATTACCTGAGGAGAACAGTTCGGTAAGCTGTCGTGGGATGATGTGGTTTAGGTAAGTGGTGGTGAACCTGTGGCATATGTGTTACTGTGTTTTTAAGACAAAAGATGTATTCTTGTTTTTTCTAAACTAAAACCTCAGTATTCAAATGTAATTGCTGTAATTTTTTTATTGCATATACCCCAATTATAATTGCTGTAATTGTAATTTCAATTACGTTTGAAAAAACAAGTGTGTATCTTTTGTATTGGCACGCTGTGATAAATAAGTAGGTTTGGGGTTACCGTTTGGCACTTGGTCTCTAAAAGGTTCACCATTGCTGTTTAGGTAGTTAGTTTCTTTCTTTGTACTTCGTGATTTTTTTTTTCTAAATATTCTTCCAACATATATGGCTTTTATAATGGAGGAATTTTTTTACTAAGTTATGTGCCTGCATGATAAAAATACCAATAAGTACTTACTGGTGGCTTATAAGATGACTGAACTGACATTTATTCATAGGAAATACTTCGTTTTATATTGTTAATTATCTTTGATAAAAAAAATTGTCTAATACTACTGCCTAAAGTAATATGGTCATACTTCTGTTTTATAGCCTTCCATAGGTCTGTACAAATATTTAGGGGAAAATGGAAATAGAACTTTGAGATTGTTTCTGTTTCATTGTAACTTAACTCCCCCAGGTAACCTTGCCACAAACCTTTCTATATTAATAAAAATGTGTGTACATATTTTAATTTTCTTAGTGCATATGGCATCTTAATCTTTGTTACATACCCTTCCTATGCTCGTTCCCTTCTCCCTCTGTCCCTAAATTCCCTTCATACTGTAGTCATGTTGTAGTTACCCAGATGTTCTTTGTACTAGGTCATGCTAAGTGTGTAGAAGTTGTAAAAACTTTCAACTTACCATTACTGATGCTCGGAGGAGGTGGATATACAATCCGTAATGTTGCTCGGTGTTGGACATATGAGACAGCAGTTGCTCTTGATTGTGAGATTCCTAATGGTAAGTGTCCATTTCATAGTATTTATACCATGTGAACTATCTGTGTGTAGAAATAGATACATGATTTGTGTGGTACTACAGAGCAGAATAGATTCCAAAACTGTGTAAGAATGCATTTACTTTGTGTTTTATTTTTAAACATTGTTTTTGGAAATATTTCCCTACCTGTAACTTTATTTTATTGTTTATAGAGTTGCCATATAATGATTATTTTGAGTATTTTGGACCGGACTTCAAACTGCATATTAGTCCTTCAAACATGACAAATCAGAACACTCCAGAATATATGGAAAAGATAAAGTAAGAAGTCATTGAGTTGTGTTTCGCATATTTCATCTTGACAAAGCTTTAGAAGGCTTTAGATGGGCTTGTGGAATATGTGTTATAGCTTTATACATTAGTTATTTTCTTTCTCTTCTTAAAAAGGACTTGAAACCCTAAGGTTACTGATCATTGGCAGCAAGAGATGGCCCTTATAGATCAAAAATATTTTCATTTCTTTACTAGTTGAAACATTTTTAAATGGCAGAGGGCACTGTAAATTTTATTGTTCCTTGCTTTATGGTAAAGTGAGTGATCATTCGGTTTATCTGAAACACTGTGTTTAGAGAAACAGTGTAGTACACGTGTATGGATTTGTGCCCTTTCTGCCATAGACTAGCACTGTGACGCTGGACAAGTTCACTGCTAGCTTGTGTCATGTAGATCATGCTAGATAGAAGAATGGAGTTTCTGGCTTAATGTCTCCACTTGTACATAAGAGGAGCTTGAAAGACACAGAACTTTGTCTGATAGTTCCGTGTTTATCGTGTAGGCAGCGTTTGTTTGAAAATTTGCGCATGCTACCTCATGCGCCTGGCGTCCAGATGCAGGCGATCCCGGAGGACGCTGCACGTGAGGACAGTGGAGACGAGGATGGAGAGGACCCGGACAAGAGGATTTCTAGTAAGCCGAGGCCTCGACAGTGTTCTCTTCCCTTTCTCTGGCTACTAAAATACAGTTACAGGCTTTAGTGACCCCAAGGTAGCACTGTGGGGCATGTTTTCTGAACATGGTGTTATTATAATGTTCTCCATTTTCTGAGCTTAGGTAGTTTTAGCTTCCTGATGTCTCAAGCCTGATACGAGCATCAGGAGTTTATGTGATTGTGTGTATATGAAGCTTTGGGAACTTAGCTGCTTATGTTACATTTGGGAAGGAACTGGAAAGCATCCTGTCTGTTCAGTGTAAGATGAGTTAAATAACGTTAAGCACTTTCTGTTTGAATTTATAGCCTCTCATTATATGTAACGGGACTGTTAGAGTTATGGCGTGATATTGCACCTCGTAGTCCGGTGTGTAGCACAGTAATTACTAATAGCGTAGGGGTCTAATGTGTCTCGTAGTCTCAGTATTATCATTAGTTTTGTTTTGTCTACCTCCCTTCTCAACTCTAAAATAAAACAACTACTTTTTAGGTATGGACTTTATTCCCACCTCCTACTTAGAAAAAGTTTTGTCCTCTAAAAGTTCTACCTTTAAAAAGAACTACAGTATCCCCAAAGGTTTCTAAAAACTTTCTGAAGTGTTTCTCATAGATGAAAGCTAAGTTTTCAGTATTTAGCAAACCATTTATTTAGTTTTGAAACATCTGTTCTATACTTTTAAATGTGGTAACTGAAGAGTGCATTTCTGTAAGGGTGGGGCAGTTGGAGACCTGTGATTGTTTTTGTCGATGTATCAGTTCGAGCATCTGACAAGCGGATAGCTTGTGATGAAGAGTTCTCAGATTCTGAGGATGAAGGGGAAGGAGGTCGTAGGAACGTGGCTGATCATAAAAAAGGAGCAAAGAAAGCTCGGATCGAAGAAGACAAGAAGGAAACGGAAGACAAGAAAGCAGGTCAGATTCGTGTTTTGGTAAATGTTCTCACTGTAAGTTTTAAAATTGAGAGTTAGGTAATAGTTTTATGAGCTCAAGTCACTTGCACAGGTATTGAGGGAGATGACTTTTTTCTTTTTAAATGGAAGTAGTGTTTACATTTTAAATGGCTTTCATTTAAAGCTTTCTAAGTGTAGCTGCTCATGTTTGCTCTTACAACATAGAAAACCCTACGTCCTTCCCTTCATGAGGTACCAAACACCGTGAGCACTGTGTTGTGACAAGGACTGGGAAGGGGACGGACAGCGTAGCTACAAATCCGTATCTGACCTGAGTGGAGCTGGGGTCCAGAGATGGTTTGTGACCCTCAAAGCGGGTGGACGGAAATGAAACAAAAGCCGAGCTCCGGTACCCTTCCACCAGCTTCGCCCTTGCACCCCCGGTAAAGGCGATACAGACTTGATTTAGAAAGTGAAGAAAGCAACATCTTGGGGGAGAGAGAGGAAGGAATTTGGGAGCTGGCTCTGGAGAAGATACCACTTTCTGATGCTTGCCTTAGTTTTCTGTCAACTGTTGAATTGCCGACTGAAATCTGTTACCATAGCACAGCACCTTTGTGGGGTTTTGTATGTCTTGCTGCTCTGTATCGAACTGCTCTGGTCTAGGGGAGCAACGGTGAGGAGCATGGGTTTTAGCTGGCTTGCTTTTGCTCCTGAAGTCCATGTAAAATTAACTCAGAAATAATGGGTCAGCATCATCTGCCTGTCAAAATAAGATTATGTGATTAAACTGCACCTTTTCTTACAAAAATGTCATTAAGAGACCATAGCATATGACACATCTGGCTCTGCTCCTGCCCATGGATTTACTCCAGAATAGGCTAAAGTTTTCTGTGTACCATTTTATAATGTTAACTTCCCAGTGTACTGCAACGCGGCTACCGGTTGCTCTTGTGTGCTGAGTGATACCCAGAAGTTCCTGACATAATAGAAGTAAAAAGGACTTTTTTCCTTCACTGTCAGTATATCTTTGAAGGTCTGTCTTCTCATTTTTAAACCTATTTTTCCTGTGCTTTTTCTTCTAAATGGGAAAGCATTAAAGTACTTTTTCTACTGTTATTTTGGCTAAAAATGAGTTTCATATCATCAGTGAGTGAATCTCTTGGTATTTTTCTCCCTCTTCCTTACCCCAGATCCACTCCTTCTCCTGGCACCTCTCCCATGTTCTGTCTCGGGAGCATTTCTGATCTCCCACGGTGCTGTTCTCGTGGCTGTGCTCAGTACTTCTTCACGCTGTCGCACTGCGATCCCACAGAACAGAGTTCCTGAGGGCAGGGCCAGTTGTCTTACGTTGGTAGCCTGACCCGCTGTCATTTAGCATGACGCCTAATTAAAAAAGTATGTTAGTAAACTCATTTATAGTAAGGTTGGATGACAGCTTTTTAAAGTATATGTTTAAATGAAATATATGCACTTTATATTGGAAAATGGGTTTTAATCTTTCTCTAATCTTTCATTTTAGATGTAAAAGAAGAAGATAAATCGAAGGACAATAGTGGTGAAAAACCAGATACCAAAGGGTAAATAATATTCCTTATCTAGTAACTTTTTACACTATATCAATTTAATTTGTTTAAAATTATTATTTAGGCTGGGCTTGGTGGCACACACCTGTAATCCCAGCAGTAGGGAGGCTGAGGCAGGAGGATCCTTGTGAGTTTGAGGCCAGCCTGGGCTACAAAGTGAGCTCAAGACCAGCCTGAGCTGATAGTGAGACCCTGTCTCAAAAAGACCAAAAAAAAATTCATTATTTGCGTCACGTGTGTGTGTACATATGTACATCTGCCTGAGTAGTATAGTACTGAACTTGAGAATATCAGCAAATTGTATCAGATGCTCTGAATTTAGTTTGTATGTATGTACATACGTAGATGTTATGTATGTATTTACTTATTTAACGTTACTGGGGATTGAACACAGGGGCTTTCTCACTAAACAACATCGTTAGCCCCTGTTTATTCAAGATAAGGTCTCACTGAGTTGCTCAGGCTGGGCTAGAACTTGTGATCGCCTGCCTCAGCCTCCTATACTACTGGGATTACAGGCATGTGTCTCCACACCTGGCTTTGGCTCTGAATTTACTCTTGTACATAATTCACTGAGACTTTTTTTCTATTGACCTTTATATATGTACTGTTATGATGTTCGTATTTTCTCCTTTTAGTGATATGAGCTAGCCAGTTTAAGAACCATTGGGCTAAAATAAGAACTGTGATAAATAAAATTATAATTGAAGATTTTATTTTAAAACATGTATGTTTGGTCACACATTTTGTGCTACCTTTGGAGGATAACCTGTAATACATTATAAAACCACTAGACAGGTTAAATCATTTCTTACTTGAAAACATTGGGCTTTATCAGCTGATGTTTCTGGGCATAAAACTACAAGATCAGATGAATAAAATAGGATAGGTTAGGATATTTAAGCAAGATTGTGCCATTCTTGGTTATTAAAGAGAAGGGGAGGGGCATGTGCTTATTGGTTTTGTATGTAATACAGGTATACTTCTGAACTTCATAACAACTAGAGTATATGACTTATTAATTATTATCCAAAAATCATAAGGTAAGTGAGTTCGAGGATGTGAAAATCTGACATCTCACTGCATCTCAAATCTGCTCTTATTTAGTCAGTTGTTCAGGTACACCTTTAGGTTTATGGAAAATATCAGTGTGTTTTTTGATTTACTCTTGAAGGATAACTGTTAAAAATTTTATGTTTGATATACATTCAGTGTGGAATAATTTAAGTCCAACTAATTTATCCATCAGCTTATATAATTACTACTTCTAGTTGTGAGAAATTTGAAACTTTTTCATTGATACACATTTGCAGCACACGAGAATCCCTCATTTTGGAGAATTGATGCTGTGGTCATTTCTGGTTCCCTCTCTCTCCGCCACCTTCCTTTCCCTGACTTGCTTTCCCATGTCCAAAAAGTCTGCCCCTGCTTTCCTGCCACCTCTGCTTTAGATTGCTCATTAATATTCCATGTTACCTCTTTCAACAGAGCCAAATCAGAACAACTCAGCAACCCTTGAATCTGAGAGTCTTCCCAGTTTTAGAAAATCATTAAAAAGTGAGGAAACATTGGGACGAAAACTGTTTTCATTTTGAAGACGTCTGGCTTCATTTTATACTACTTTGGCATGGACTGTATTTATTTTTAAAATGGCTTTTTTGTTTTGTTTTTCTTGGCAAGTTTTATTGTGAGTTTTTCTAATTATGAAGCAAAATTTCTTTTCTCCACCATGCTTTATGTGATAGTATTTAAAATTGATGTGAGTTATTATGTCAAAAACTGATTAAAGTGATTGGCCTCTCTGAGCTGAATTTTCCATCTTTTGTAATTATCTTTAATAAAAAATTGTACTTGGATTGTCTTTTGTCTGCTCATTATAATATGAAACCTTGTTTTAGACGTTTAAGAATATATTACTGGCAGAAGAATGATTGCGTTTTAAAAGGTAGACAGCTGTTTATTGCTTCTTTCATAATAATAATTACTGTTTTTTTGAGAAGCTCTACCCGGTGGCCCGTTGTAACTTAGCTAATCAGTATTGGTGAGGATGGATGTCTTACTTCAATCGCAGATGTGTAGCACAGGCTGTGCGGTTGAGATAGAGGAACAACATTAGAGCTAAACTGAAGGTCCCTCGAGCTTAGAAATGGGAATTCTGACGTGAACGAAGCCGTGACCTCTGTGCTGAGGTCTCTGGGCGATCTGTCTGCCCCCTCGCCTGTCCTGAGTGGGTGAAAGATGGTGCAGTTGTGCTTGGTCAGAACACACCTGGCTTCTACTGCATTTACATAACAGTCAGGTTCTGCTCAGTACCCAGGTTTCCAAAGAAAGGAAATGTTTAAATGAGCAACTATCTGTTGTCTACTAATTTTAAGAATTTGTGAAAAATGCTTCACCTACAGATAACATTGCAAGGGTAGGAAGCCGACACATCTGGTAATGTAAAGGAGAAAAGAAAACATTGCTAGGCACTTACCAAAATTGGTAAAACGTTCCTTTTTGCTAGGCCTGAATATTTTTCTTTTTTTTTTATTTTAAAAATAAAAGGAGGAAAACTAGCAGACAGACAACCTTTTACAAAATAGCAAAAGAACAGTACAGACAATACAGAGTTACAAAGTGGTAGGAAATTAGCAATGCTTGTATTATATATTGATACCTTCAAAGTGGTTTCTCATGAAAACAGACATGCAGTATTGATCAAGGACTCATTAACAGTTTCTCTTAGCAGAGAAATAGAAGACAGTAGATCAACTA